AGATCTGTGCAACTTAGAAATATAAGTGAAAACAGTTGAGAATACTCGATGGGTTTATCTCTAAGATGGTGAAAATCAGCTTTTTCTGCAAAAGTGCTCTTCATAGTATGTTAGCTTGACATTGATACTATGATATAGAAACATCCCATTCGATAATGCTTAAAATTTGCTTCTAACAACTAACGGGACATTTTGAACCACTTTGATTTTGTTTTTTGGGGGGCTAAAATAAAGTTTTGAATTCATTCGATAGAGAATTTTCTGCTCTACAAAACTCTGTATATGCGATATCAACATACTGATCCTGTGTCAATAGCATTTAGTAGGAGCAGATGATATAGAAAACGGGATTTGCGTCCAAAATTTCGAAGTTTTACAGGTTCTGAGTAATTTTTGTCGAGAACGGTATCGAAACCGAGCAAAGACGATGTTATAAAAATGTTCAGCGGATTCAAACCCATCTCCTATGTTAGGCTGCTTTCCCATATTGATACAGAGAATACGAAGCGTTTCATCCACAAATCACTCAACGCTTCCTACATTTTGGAGATTATGAGCTAAAAAGTAAATATTGAGTCCACAGAGGGGAATGTGTTGGGTAGAAAAGTCTCTGTTGTCTGAAGTTGGAATGGACTCGTGAAACCGTGTGGTATGTAGATGTAAACTTTTAAATATACAATTCTAACATTTTCAGACCGTTCACTGGAGGTAAGTAATTTTACAAAAAAAATTTTCTTCTCAATAAGTTCATAAATGACGATAGTTTTTTAGCACAAAGTAAATGTAGTATGAAGCTTGCTACATCATATTAAAGAAAATAATCAGATGTAGGACTTTCATGAATGCAGTCTCTCCTTTGCATCGCAGTTTTACTTTTCATCTGCTCCTACTAAACACTATTTTAGGGTATCAATTTTATTGATCCTAAAAATTTTTAGATATACCAAAAAAGGATATTTGGCTTTAATCTCGTTCATTGATGTGAGAATAGAAAATCCAAAAAGTACAAACCACAAACGCGGATCGAGGATCCATACACATATGATCACAGTAAAAACGAAAACAAACACTTGACTGTTACAGATTCAACTGCTATCCCATACTACTACAGGAGAAAAAATGAGACAAGAAAGGATATTTTTAATCACCAAATTTTTTAGAGAGTTGTAATATTTCATCATCACTTCTCTGCTTCCTGTACACGAAATTTTGTTACATACTTTTCTCTTCTCTGTCTTACTAATTAGAAAATCATATTTTTTTTTCAGCAACAAAAAAAAGCTTTTAAATAGTTTTACAAATCTTTTATACCTTTGTTTTTGATTCTTTTCCGTCAGGTTTATAGACCCAAAATATTCTTTGAATGCAGTAAAGCTTTGGAATTTAGAATTCGAATACGTTTTGAATTACTGTCTTGTAGACACATTTTTCCCAGTTTTGTAGAAGTATCGCGATATTTTACAGAAGTAGAAATCTAGTATCTTCAGAACATATAGATATTAGTTAGATATACTATAGAAAAGAACTCTTAACTCTCAATACTTTTTCATTATTTTATATTTATATTATTATATTTATACTTTTAATCAATTGGCGATGTTCCCTTGTTAGAGTTAAAAAACTATGATCTTGTATTAAAACATTATTATCGCAGTTTACAAATGCAATGTTATACTATTAAATAACAAGTTGATTAAACTAATTGGTCTTCGACTATTATTTCTTCGAAGTGCAGTCAAGCGTTGAGATAAAAAGAATAGTTGTGCAATTTCAAGTATTCTCCAACATAATTATTTTAAGCGAATACTTAAAAAATAAAAAATACTCTTTATTACACTCATAACAACGCAGAAGAGCTCAGCTAGGATCTAGTAGTCTGTGGAACAATGTACAATCACACATGCAGAAAAATGACGTACCGTAACGCAAACGAAATCAATGTGTTGTGACGCGTTATAAGTAACAAATTATCTCAAGTGAGTCAGTTAAATGAGTCAGTATTATATTCTAATTTGATGATGATCGTAACATCTTTTAGAGCTCAATATTTTCATTATTTAGTTTATTAGACCTATCAGATCAATCTCCTTCTCGAAAAAGGCATAACTTAGAAGTAACTTCTGAAAGTAATTCTTAGATAGAATGCGAGGGCATAATGCAATGCGTTTCATGTCTGCCCATATTCCGCTTTTGATAAATTGCCTATAGCTCGAATAGAAAAAATTGGAACGTGCAGAGGAAAACGGACGGTAATACTCTCTAAAAAATAAAGGTATTATAAAATACGAAAAATGGTATAACCATTTGAACCATATCATAACTGTTTAAACGTTTTTTACTTTTATCAGAAAACTCCTTTGAGATTTTTAGAAAATGAAAAAGCCGGATTTTAAAAAATCCTGAATTGCTTTGGGATTTTAAAATAACTGAAAGGTTTTTTTGTGACATGAAGAAACCTCAACCGTTTTTCAGAATATAATTTAGCCGTATTTTAGAAAACGAAAATTAGTTTTTTGATAAGAATAAGAAACTTTTAAACAGTTATGATATGTTTCAACTGGTTAAACCCTTTAAACATTTTTCACAGGTGGTTATACCTTTTTTTTGGTTTTTCTCAAATGGAGAATACTTTTTAGGGTTTTTTGAAATACCTTTTTTTTTTAGAGTGTAGTTTTGATCCCGAAAAAATTGCAAAATGGATCCCGTATATAAAAATTTGTATAAAAAACATACAAAAGATCCCGATTTCTTTTGTCGACCTTCTCACTTTCATCTCACCGGTTCCCGCGCCGTCATTGATCTTATTCAAATTTTTTGTATACGGAATCCATTGTGCATTTTTATCGGGATCTTTTCTAATTTTTTCCAAGAAAAAATATGATTTTTCAAAAATCAAGTGTTTTCTTTCATTTTGTTTTTTCAAGACTAAGTTCAACGGTTCATTGCAAGCAAAAATAATACTATCGAAAACTGTTCATCATAATTATCTTATTACCAACAGATCCACAGTCTTTCACTCTTGATGATATTTTTTACTCGAACGAACATTTCTTTTTTCCACTGTAAATAAAATTTTCACAAAAACATGCGTTCGATCTAATGTGAATTTTGTGCAACTCTCAATAATATCTGCTACACCCGATGCTAATTGAAAATAACATTGTTTGTAATATAAGTATTTGAAAAAAGTCATATATCAAATTTTATACAACTTTTCGCAAATGCATTTTCGTTTTTACAATTTCATAAATCCCACGTTTTCAAGTTGTGTTTAGTTCAATCGTGTTTGGAATAGCAAAGCACTCAAAAATTAATTTAATAAATCTAATACTTTTTATAATTCTCATATTTCTCACATATTACGAAATTAACATAACGATAAACTACAAGACTAGACTGATTTATACGAGAAGATTCAAAGGTAAGATGCTTACCAGACGCAACAAGTTACAATTGTAGCCTGTTGCTAAGAATAGACCATACGGTTCTAGACTAAAATTATAAGATTTTAGTTTCTTTCAGATTTTTGTCATGTGAGCAGACAATGCAAGAGTCTGGAAAGCAAAGCACAAAACAACACTACACAATTGTCGGAAACTAAAGAGATACCAACCATGTCAAGAACTGAACTAGAATAGAACAGTTGCTCAAAAAGACATAGTTGTATTTTGGTATTCCCATCCCATCCTAGAAGTTTGATCTGCTAAAAATATTTTTAGAAACTTGATATTTTATTTTTTATCGTCTAGTTTATAAGAGAACGGAGATCTCAGATATTCTTTTTTTATATGAATTTTTACTCAATCATAATAGACGAAAAATAAATTTTGTCGACGATCTTTTATTTATTTTTCATTTAGATCTTTTTTCTTATAGAAACGTATCTCAACATCTTGGTTGTATGACGGAATCAATGAATTTTCTTGTTGATAAATAATACATTTTTTGTATCAAGTAGGAATGTCACTTTCTCTATGTTGAATAATATCTTGTATTAAGTACTTACTTTCTTGCGACATAATATCTAAAGATTTATATCTTATCTGAACAAAGAGTGTCAAGTGAACAGTATTTCTTCAATAATGAACCAGATGTATTTAACAGAACATTTTTGATATACGATTAATATCCTCTATCAATTTTTGAACGTTTTTTTTTATTCATAAAAACAACAAAAAAAAAAAAAAGATAAAAACAATCAAACCAAAAAGTGATCACAATATACAAACATACACGGTTTTTTTTCATATATATAATATTGCCTTGCTATCAAAAGAAAAAAATATATAGAAATTTACGTAAATTTTGTTACACAACCGTGTGTACAAAAAATGGTAAAAAGTATGCGTTGAACTAATCTGGCATTGACTCACAGTTTTAAAAGTATACAGCAACAAATTCAACCAAAAAAAAAAAAGAAGAGATGTACTGAATTAGAGACGGGAATGTAAACCATCTTAAAATTACAATGAAGAAAACAAAAGAAACACACGCACACAACGATTCTACAATTTTATATTCTTATATCATCAAAATGGACTATTTACAGAAATCAAGACAAATAAAAAAAGCACCAGTTGAACAAAAACAAAAGAGCCATAATCCTGCATAAAAAATATATTTTGTTCCAAGTGTTATTGATATCAGAGAGAGAATAAAACTGCTAAAAAACATCTATAAATAGAAATGTGTAATAAGCAAGAATTTCGAATATTGATGCAGTAAAGAGTTCGAATATACGTTGCTAGTTTATTAGTGTAATCAAAGCAACGCAAATATTCTACTTTACAATGTGGGGAGATTTTTTTGGATCAATACTCTTTCTGGTATGTGAAAAGAAAAAAAATAAACAAACAAATAAAAAACCGAAAAAAAAAATTCCACCGTTGTCTATTATAAACATTCTCTCAACGTTCAAACATTCTTTCTCATCTTCCATATTTTATTTTGACTTGACTGTTTTCTTTTTCTTTTCTTTTTTGTATGTATTAAAATATGTTTTATTCTAATGGCTGTTTTTTGTTTAAAGCTAGTTGTAAATCTTCTTTAAAACTTGCTTGTGGTAAACGAAAACGGCCTTGAAAATTTTCACTATTTCTTAATGAATTTAATATATCTTTTGTTTTACCAAAATAAATTGAATTTAATGTTTGTCGAATTTTATTTTCCATTTCTTCTACCATACGTCCAATATTAATAATATGTTGTGAAAATTCTTGTATTTGACTATCTGATTCTAATTGTCTTGTTAAACTACCACCTAAATTCATCATACCACTTGTTGCCTTGTGTGTTTGTAACCATAACATAACTGTTGATGTTAATTTATAATGTGCCGTACGTCCACTTTGTTTTTCTTGTACTTCTACAACATGTATCGAGTCCCAACAGCCTTTAATTTTTTTTGAACCATCACCAACTTTTTTTACAAGAATAACACCGGCAAATCCATTTAATCCTTCTAAATCCCAAAAATAAACTGATGATACACCACCTTCAAAATACATTTCACGATATTGTTCAAATGCTTGATTAGCTTCTATTTCTAATTGTCGAAGACGATCTGATGGTAAATTTCCTAAAATATAATAAAAAGATGAATGAATAATTCGTAATTTGACAGTCAAGATCACACATTCTTTTTCTCTCTCTTATGTTTACCATCGAATGCTGGTATATACGTATTTGTCCATGGTGATCGATATGAGTCACCATCACGATTATAATCACATAGCAAATAATCTTTGCCAACAACACGATCCCGTACAACTTTTAATGGCTGATCAACAGCTGCTAATAGTTCTTCTGTTAAATCTGGTACTAAATCAATTAGATCCGTTAAATTTTTTTCTACTTGTTGAGGCGGTAAACGTCTCATTAAATCTAGTGCGCAATCTAATTGTGTATCGGTCATTCTTTTTTTTCTAAAATATCAAGACTTTTTTTTGTTTTTTTCTAGAATCAAATAAACAAATTGTAAATAAGACACAAATAATGGTGGTATGACTTTGAAAAATGAAGTCTATGACAAAATATAGTCATTTATTATTTTAACAAGCACTTATTAACAACTAAGCCAAGCACACACACGGAATTTGTGTTCGTATTTCGAAGTAGGAAAAAGAGACACAAAAGTTAAAAAAAGCTTATGAATAAATAGACAAGAGGAGAAAAATAATGAAAAACGCTTTCTCATTTGTAAAGTTTGGTCATCTTTCAGTTTGTCTTTATTTTTTTACCGCTATCATAAAAGTCGATTTTACCTATAACAAACAGGAAAACAGCATTATACATTAAAAAATCATTTGTTTTTAAAGTCAGATAATTGAAAATGAATGCAGAGCGACATAATGCAATAGTCAGTCAGAGCTTTAAAGGATTCAAACCAAACAGCAGCAGATTCCGACAATATCAGTAAAAATAACTTTGAGAAACGCTTAGCGACTAACCACTTAAATTAAAAACAAACGATATCATAGAGAATTTGACTGTCGTGTAAAGACTATTATAATAATAAATAATAAACATTCTAACATCAGTCAAGCTTTTTGTCAAATCGATAATGATGGTGATGTGAAAAAAAATACCAAAACATTCGGCAGAGCCACAAGAAATATGATTGTGTCCTGCAAAACCGAGAAAAGAAAAACATTTTTCGATCCAAGATTAGTACCGTAACCATTCGTTATTTTTCTTTTATCTTTAAAGCAGTCAAACTTACACTGTCTAATAATATTGACGAACGAGTTTAACGTTCGTTACCCACTGCTGAAAAAATGAGAATATTTCTCATACACTCTCTTATATAGTCTTCTATCGAACTAAATCAGAATTAAAAAACTCTTACTTTGAGAACCTCTAGTTTCATTAATGCTATGAATGTTTTAAATGTACTAACTAGTACGGTTTTGCTACTGAAAAACGAAAAATACAAAGAAAACAAATAATTTTAATACAACAAAACTAACTAAAACATTTTTCTTTCGACGTCCATACGTCAACTACATTAAACACACGATGTTTTTCATTGTGTACTATTTCATTGCTTTGAAGATCGAGCTTAGAGGTATTAGCCGATTACTTTATCGGCGGCAGTAATAACCCCAAAGAAATTTTTCATCCTTGGCAGCGCTGATACGAAAATTTTGAAGACGAGTTATCATACTGGGAAAAATCTCTGAGAAGCCTCAAAATGTGGTAAGGTAGGAAATTTTCAATACCTAGCGTTTAGTTCACGAGGTAAAGTAAAGTAACTTTCATAAGGACTTATCACCATACTGATGAGAGCGAGCAGTGGATTGCAGAATGGTGGACGCGAGAAGAACGAAACAGCGTTCATCAATGCTCCATATAACATATTTTAGAGATAAATATCAATATAATGTTTATTCTGTCTTTTGCACATTACTCTAGTTGATAGTACAAAAAGTTCTAATTTTCAATAATTCTTTTTCAAAGATTTTAAAAAAAGTTTTGAGAAAATTGTTTATCAGTGGCGGCGTAAAACTTTAAAAAACACCAACAGTACCGCGCTATGGTAACAGTAGGGTGAAATGTTAAATTTTCTTTCGGCGGCGGCGGCACGGCTAACACCTCTAATCGAGCTACATCTCTTGGATCGAATATCAATGTACTTCTCTTTTTTATTTATATTAGTTTTCAGATCAATCAATTTCTAATTGCTTTACATTATTCGTATGAAATCATCTATAAGATTGTCGAACACAAGAATAACGGTCCAAAACAAGCACAGTGATTGGTACCGTTTGTTGAACATTCAAGTCAAAACTTAAACAAAAATATACTAGCATTTATAATCGTGATAAGATGGTGAATATTGCTCGCTTCTTAGTCAATACTAGCTCTTACATCACCAATATCATGAATTTTCAACACAATATTTTTTTTAATCAGACAATTATTATATTGAATACAGTATATATCTTTATTTGTCTCCCAATATAATTAGAGAAAAAAATTAATCTTAAACAAAATAATTTTATTGTAAAACAGTCTGTCATATGCTTTCATTAACGCCGCCATAAACTAATTGTTCAATAATGCTAGTTTTTCCCACACATGTTTTACCCTAGAAGAGACGTCGAAATACTTTCAATATAGCCAATAAAAAAACTAATCTCATTATCGATATAATCTAAAGATAAAATAAAAAGCACAATATACTCTTTCTGCCTAGCCACTTAAAGACTAAACATATGTCGCTCTCTAGTCGAATCAAAAATAAAAAAAGGAAGTATACACCAACAGAAGTCAATTCAATTCACAGAACTGTTCAAAGCTTAGCTAAAGAAGACAATATTTTTCCCAGTGCTCAAAATTGAAACTATGACAAAGAAAACTAGGATAAAAGAATGAGCTAAATATTTCCCTAATTTTTATATGCAAACTATCATTAAAATTATTGATCTCTCAAAAATATCTCGGTTAGATTACTATGTAGCTATGCACAAGGACGAACATCAATTGATTCTTGCAAAGTAAATTTCTTCCTTCAGCAATTCATTGAGTGCGAAACTTTGTTTTTAAATATCAAGAGTAATGAAATACATGTTCTTTAGCTAAGAAAGAAAGTTAAGGATTTGAATTATCCGAAAACGCAAAGTAAACTTTTCCATACCTTTTTATGCATTTACAATCAAAATATAACAATAAATTATTGATTAAATAAATTTTTTTATTTATTTTAGAATAAACGATATTGACCTAAATATATATATACATACACACACATATATACAGAGAAAAGCAAAAACGAAAACAACGTTCACATGTATGAGTGATTGACTACCAGATCAAACGATAAGTATAAACAATAAATAAATTTTCCATGCATGTATGAGACAAAAGAAAATAAACAGAGAAACATATATAGAATAAAACAAGAAGTCTCTTTGAGAAGAAAACAACCATTGTTTCTAATAGAAAAAAATTAGTCAATAATGTTTTCTTTGTTTTTGTTCATCTCTGATTTGTCACTGTTTGTAAAATACAAACGAAATATTATAACGATAATAAATCTCACAAAAACTACAAGCTAAGCTTGCCAAGGAAAAAATGGTGAGATATATATATGTACAAAACTAAATTAAATTTACAAAGGATTAGGGAAGTACAACAAAGTTTAATAGTAAAAAAACGCAAAAAAATCCAAAAAAGTATATCTCCACTATGATTTCATTTTGGAATATTTCTCAACACTTGTGATGGTATAAATTGTAAGGTGGATGCACTAGGTTTTGTTGTTGATGTAGGAGGAGCAACAGATACTGGGGCGGCAGGCGGCGGTTGATGTTTTTGATACGATGGCAAAGACATAGGTATAGATGGTTCAACATTGTTCTTAAATGGAGGAAGCATCATCATTTGCGGATATTGTTGTGTATATGAAATATTATTGTTTGAATAGTTGGTAGATTGTTGTTGACCAGCAACTTGCTGGAATTGTTCTGATTCACAAATAGCTCTGTATAATAACGAATTTGGATTCGATGATATCGATGCCATTGTTGTATTTAAAAATGAATTATCATAATCGTTAACCGACGGAAAATATTGATTTTGTTGTTGTTGTTGTTGTTGTTCAATCAAGGCTTTGTTTAACGATTGATTCGAGACACCATTGGCTTCATTATGTTGATGATTACCGTCATTACTCAGTTGTTGATGAGAATAATCCATCATATTGACAATATCGTTTATGTTACTATTTTGATTGTATTGTGACGAATGATTATTATTTACTGGCATAGCCGACAAAGGATAACTTGATGATGTATCTAGAAAATAGAAAATAAACGTTTAAAATTCATTGTCCTATTTTAACGTTTCTAGATTAGTTTTAGCTTCTCATATTTAACAAGAGCAAGAAAGTAAAATAAAGTTAAGTTGTTTAATAATATTTCCATCCACAGAATAGATAATGATTCTTTTGAAAGAGTGAAAGTGTTTTCAAGTGTATTACTAGTGACAGTGTTCTTTTCATTAAGAAAAACTAGCTGATCACATTTAAATATGTGCACAATCTAACTAGTTTGTACTTTACTTTTCAGTTAGTGCCCCAAAAGTACAGAACTGTCTGCCTTCTACCGTATAGAACATAAATAGCATCTAAAAATGCCTGTTGTAATGCCTTTTTCAAAAACAAAAAAAGAAAAAATTTTTATCTCAATAGTGATCGAAAGATGTTTTTCAGAATCGATTCATTCCAACCTCAGCAATATAATTCTTATTAATCTCGTACCTAAATGGCTATACGGACTATTTTGTAAATAAGTGTTTTGATTATATTGTTGCTGTTGATAGAATTGATGTGACTGAGTATTGGCATCATTTGTTTGGTCAGATAATTGCTGTTCACTTTCTTTGTGAGATTTACACATTTGTTCTATGGCATAACTGAAGAAAGATGGTTGTTGCTGTTGTTGAGCCGAAACTTCTTGTGGTAACTTATACATTGAATCATATGTATTCGATTGCATTGTAATTAATGTAGTAGCAGAGAACGGAACCGAATAAATTGGTGTAAATGCCGATCTGAAAGATCTTCAATGTTTGAATGCCAAACAAATAGAGAGATATTTACCTTTCACTTGTCGTTATTTCTTTTCTATTTGATGATAATGTTGTTGTTCTTAATTTTAATTGTTTTTCATCATTCAATATTATTAAGAATTTTGTATCTGATGATAAATGACGAAAATATACCTACTATTATCGTAATTCGTATTTGATACAAATTTTTCGATAAATACAAAATTATTGTCCATGAATAAAATACATCTACCTAAAACAAAACAAAAAATAGTTGCTGAAAATAGATCTTCTCTTGGCCTCTCAGCATCATCAAAAACAAACATATATAATCAACAAATGGATGTGTACTTAACGATATAATTATATTTATAAACAGTTAATAAAACAGTTAATAAAATTAGTGTGTGCTTGAAAAAGAGTGAGAAAAAAAAAAACACTAAAAAAATTTCAGTAAAATAAAAAGTCCTCGAAAAATATGAGATAAGGATATTGATTCTTACACAAAATTTTCTAAAACAAAAAAACAAAGAAGAAAATTGGTAGCTCATAATTATCAACATTTTCACAGATAGAAATAACGGATTTATAACAATAATTGGTTTTAAAACTATTGTTCATTACAGTATGTAAGGAGAGGGCAACATGTCATAAACAATGTGATCTGAGTTCAATACGAGAGTCAGCTAATGCTGTATTTCGGGGAAAAAAAAAACACTTTCATAAAACAATTATAGACTTATCAATAACATTTTTATTTGGATACGAAGATAATTTTTCTAAAAAAAAAGAAAAGATAGAGAATTCAAGACACACTATTGTTTAGTAATTCATAAACTTTTGTATTAGTAGAAAGAATTGTTTTGTAAAATTTTCTCTTAACAGATATTCGGAATAAAATAATAGAGAAAAACAAAACAGCAACAATTACAAGTATAACCAACTGCAACAGTTAAAGAACAAGCAAAAAAAAGATAGTAATTATGAAGCTGAGTCTCTGTTCGGTGGATAACCAGAAGGATAATATCTGATATTGTATGGTGGAAAATGCTGATTATCAGTCGGAAAATTGGAAAACTGATTAGAAGAGAGAGAATAATTTGTATAATCATTTTCGTTCACGGTATTTTGTTGATGAATGGTGGTGGTGGTTCTCGCTAAAATAATTTACAAACCAGTTCATTTTTATTAAAAACTAAAGTATGAAGTGAGTAGCAACAGTTACTAATCAACATAGACATCGACTTTTGAGTGGGAAATTTTTTTTTCTATCTAGTTAATTATATCTCTGACACTTAAAAAGAGAGAAATTAATATCACATACACAGTATATGTACGCTCAACAGTCGTTGTATATATGATATTGAAGCTGATTCTCAATCAATACGATGATTTCGAATTTATTTTCGAATAAAACTCTTTGTTACATACACTTGGCATTACGAATTCTGGTGCATCCGGATTCATTTTACTCTTTGACAGGTCAAATACGGGCTTATCATTTGATTGCTGTGGTGTTGGTGATAGTATTGGTTGAAACGAAGAAGAATTAAACGATGATGTTGGGGGTAAAACTACAGATGTTAATGGTTGAATTTGTTCTCCTGATGTTCGTTGACTAAAAAGAAAAAAATATTAACATTTATTATTTAATCAACCACGCAGAAAGTCACCAGTCTACCTATAATCAATTCGATTTACAGAAGAAACCTAAAGAGAGGAAAAGATTTTTAATAATCATCTTGAATTTGAAAAAAACTTTGAACTTACTGAAGGAACAGAAGATTCTGTTGATTGTGGAATTATAAATCCTTTATTTAGATCTCGATGTGTTACGTTTGTTTCTAGAATGAAAGACAGTAGACATTGTACGATAAAGTATTCAGCTTTCATTCATGTATTGTGTTAATTGTATAACATTCTCATCAACTTGTAGAACGCTCGTTGATGTTTTCCTAGATGAAGTTTAATAGCGATCGATCGTAGTTTTGTATAGGGTTCTACAATTACTTTTTTTTACAATCGCTCTTCCATACCCTAAGAGAATGCAGCAAGTACTTTCAGAAAATGTGAAACATTTTTATCCAACTGTCCCAGTTTAGTAACGAGTTTGAATGACTATTTGTTAATGCCAAATTGTGGCGGAGAAGCGTAGTTAAGTGTTTTCTTTTTTTAAAAGACCGTGACTATTAATATTAATAAAACATTCGAAATTTTGGAATAATCAAGTGCTTTCGAGTTTTGTCTTGGTACGGAAGCCTTTCTACACATACCATATTTGTGATTTTCTAACTGCCGTTGATCTTGCTGACGGTTTGTTGTTGGAAGTGTACGTTCAAATACTGAAGAATTTTTTTTTTTATTGCTTTTTGATTGTTGTTCGCTATCTTCGCCTGCTAACATCGATTTACTTCTCGTTGGGGGCGGTGTTCGACTTCTAGGCCCTTGTTTCATATTGTTAATTTTTATTTGTACTAGATCCTGTTGTGCTTTTTGAGCTGCTAACTGGTGATAATCAATTGTAGCAATATTCGATTTATTGCGAACGACATTTGAATGACCAGTAGTAATATTTCCATTATTATCACTGATGCCACGATTTAATGCTCGATTTTTTCGTGGATGACTGTTTTCATTTGTAACTGACATATTATGGTATTGTGGTTGTAATGATGGGTGAATTAGTGATTCTACTAAACGATGGTCGCGTACATTTTCGACCATTGATATTGAACGTTGTTTATATACTGCATTGAACCTCAGACTATGTGTAAAATTTAATAAATGATACGAACGTACTTTAACTCGACATTGTTGTTGATCATCATTAAATAAAATTGAATACAAACTACCGTTTGGTAAATGATCAAATAGTATTTCATAATAAGTATCCAAATGCGTACGCCCAGGCATAATACCAATAACAGTACCACGAGATCCAATCGGTACTCCAGCGCCTAATCTTACGACGACAACACGATCATGTAGAAAAAAGCTTGTTTGTGGATCAGGATCACATAAACCAAGATATTCACATGGTTTAAACAGTCGACTAGTTTCAATACGGGAGACACCTGACGATGAATGTCTACGATTATTTGTTTGTTTCTAGTACAAAAATGCAACACTCATCTACGCATATAAGAAGGGATAAAATTAACTTACAGCATAAAAAGATGTAACCATAGAATTTATTTCTTCAATAACCGGTGTGTCTAATACCATCCATGACGCATCAGTTAATTGCATTGAATATGTTGGTAAAGATTTTATCCATGTCCTAATTTCCATTGCCCGTGTTTTTCTGAAAAAAGCATCTTTAAAACAGGTTAGACCAAAAACAAATTATATAGACCATTTTACCCATTTTGGGATGGCCATATTGAGCGTTCTGAATAAGATTCTAGGCTTGGATGTTTCACTAAATATGCAACAACTTCAGGAAATCTATGATAAAACAAAAATATTCTAACAACTCTCTATGTTTTTTAGTTCTTTTCGTACTTTTTCATGTAATCGGCAATAACCTTAGAAGCTTCATCCGAATAACACCATATACCTTGCAGTTTTTTAGTATAACCTTGTAACTACATAAAAAATCAACACACTCAATAGTGAAAATACATTCAGACTATATAACATTGACATTCTGGTATCTAACATACTTGTCTAACTGGATAATTCATTTTCCATGATAAACCTATATTAAGTCTCCCCCCCACAACATTACGGTTGCCACTGGTAATTACAATTGTACCACTTACTCTTGACACCACAGCTCTGTCAATAAAAGATACATCAAGTTACAGAGAGCTGTTTGAGAACAGTAATATATTAATTCAACTCACGCATGTGTTTTTAAATATTTGGCAACTTCTTGTGCTGTATAATAAATTATCTCACATTTTTGTAATTTTAGCTGAGCGGCATATATATCTGGTTGCTTCATAGCATTAGTATTCATTTTACATTCAATAATATGTTTACCATTATGAACAATCACATTTTGAACTTGACCTAGAGCATCAATATAAATCACAAAAATGTAGTACCGATAGAAAGTAATACAAAACAAAGCAAGCAGAACTCTAATAATACACGAAGGCTCTTGCATTATAACGCGAAAAGAACTAAGACCGGTAATCTTTTTTGTTTTAAACTTTGCATCTATTTTTGAGAACAAAACAATGGTATGAGAAAATAGCATGCATATTGTATCTTAAGTATGTCTAAGCTCATCTTGAGTCAAAATTTTTGTCGGTAGTTTTCATGAAAAGAAAAATTATTGACTTGTAATTTCTTTGACTTTTTTTTACCGTTTCATCAAAATTCTTCAAGAAAGAATGTGTACAATTAAAATGAATTTACCATCACACGAATAATTCGTTGGAACTAAACTAAATACCGGATCATTGATTTTAAAATGATCATTGATTGTTTGTGGAAATTGAAATAAATCTTTGTCTGATCTGTAATTTGGCAACTGAAATAAACATGTCTGTAACGGATAAGGATAGGCTTGATTTGAAAAACATTTATATGTTGAACATTTATCACTTGTTGATGATCGATATTGTGTTCTATAACCAATTAATGGACTTATATATAATAGCAATGGAATATGTCCAATATGAATACCTTGACGTACTTCATAACGTCGACTAATATTCATGGCTTTTGAATATTCATTTTTTCCATCTTCTTCTGATAATATTCGAGTTGAATAGATTATTTTTGTATCATTATATTTTTCTTCATCATATTCAAATGGTATATGTGTTACATACACTGGTGTTTGTGTATAATGTTTTGCATCTTCTATGTAAGATGATTGTAATGAAAAAACAGATTCACTGGGAATATTTTGCCAAACATATAATTGTTTATAGTCGCTAATAGCACAGACAATTCCATATTCAAAATGTGGCCAATTCATAAATAGACATTTACCCATATAACGTTCAATTAATTTTTTTTGATTATTAATTGTAAATGGTACGACTGATAATTCATTAACTTCGTTCACAGGTTTAAAATTATTATTATATGTTATTAAATCTTGATCTGGCTGGTGTTTCAATTTTAATATTAATGTGGCCGATTTTGATTTTATATCAAATATGTTGACAATGGCATTTTTAAACGAATGGTCATAGTTCAATATATTTAAACATGGAAATTTTGGATATAATACTGGTTGATCCGTAAATCGTTCAGTTTTAAATGGGGAACCATCAGAATGATAGTAATTGTATGGATATTCTTTACAAACTGCTTTTGTTTCTGTTATTGATGGAAAATAGGGATTTTTTATTAAAATATTTGTAATGGGTTTCAAATCACGAGTCGATATATAACAATACGATGAAGAATGATTATTTCGCAATTTTTCTTCATCATTCAATTTTGTATAATATTTTGATATTGTACTTAACAACAGCTTTTCGTCAATAAATGGTAATAGAACGATGGATTCCCAGTCTTGTTTTTTCTCATTTTGATCAAGACAAAAATCTTCTGGATAAAATTGTAACAATGGACTTTCAATATCAGTCATTAACGATTGTAACGGTTTTGGTAATAAATCACAACTTGTGGGTGGTAACACAGCTACATAAAACAAGAAAAACATATATTATTAGTACGTTAAAAAATAATCTAAAACTTTTAAAGTTGAGTACTGGAGAAATTCAGTTCACTGTTTTTTTAGTAATCGCATAGTGAATTTATAATAAATCAAGTGAGAATGACTTATATTAAAAATTTTATCATACGTAGACAGTTGAATATTTAACATTATGCTGGAGAATGGTTATTCACGTTCATCCTAGTGGTCAACGATATTTATCTTTCTCCTCAAGGATAGACCATGGTAGATAATTTTCTTCCAAAACCTTACCTAATAACTGCTCAAATGGTCTAAATGGTTTTCCATTGTCAAATTGAATGTTTAAATCCTTGAAATTTTTTAAATCGGATAAATAGGGTGCATAATGTTGTGGATAAAACCATGACCACGATTGACAGCCATTATAATAATATTTCAATATCCACTGTAAAGCAAATATATAATTTTCAACGTTTGTAGTCATTATATTCGATGTCATTTGTTCAATATTCATTTTTTCACGATAATAATGTGTTTTATGTTGTCGAAATTCACTTTCAATCAATGGCTCATTATCATTGTCATCTAATATCGTTGATGACTGAATCACAGGTCTTTCTTCTTCATTTCCATTTTGTGCGCTGATTGTTTCGTACGCCGATGAATGATCTTTATCTGGATCGAAATAAACCGAATTATCATTGTCATTTGAATTGTCCATATTATGAACATCGTTATTATTATCAGTCTGGTT